TGTTTTGTCTGATACTACTATAGCCATCCATGCTCTCTTTGCATTACTATTTGCATGGAGTATCTTTCCTTTCATTTTCAACCTATTGTTATCTTTGGACCCAAAATGAGTCTCTTATTAATGGCATAAAATTGGATAAAATTTTTATCCATTCTTCCAATTTCTGTCTTTTAATTAGAGTTTAATCTATTTACATTTAAAGTAATTGCTGGTAAGGAGGGGCTTACCTCTGCCATTTTATTATTTGTTTTCTGTATGCCTTATGTCTTTTTTGTTTCTCAGTCACTCCATTACTGCCTTCCGTAGTGTTTGTTTTTTCCAGTGTATCATTTTGATTCACTCTGTTTTTCTTTTCTGCATATTTTTATGTTATTTTCTTAATGTTTATCCTGTAGATTATGACTAGTATCTTAAACGTATAACAATCTAGTTTGAATTAATACAATTTAGCTTCAGTAGTATAAAAAAACTCTGCTCCCATAAGGTCCACCCCGCTCCTTATGTTGTTAATGTTACAAGTTACATCTTTATACATTGTGTGCCCAGAAATATAGATTTGTGACTATTACTTGATGCATTTGTCTTTTAAATCATATAAGGAAAAAAAGATGAGTTACAAACCAAAAAATTGTAACACTGGCTTTCACGTTTACTGTGCAGTTGCCTTGCCAGTGCTCACACAGCCTGAGCTGCTGTCCACTGTCCTTCCATTTTGGTCTGGAGGACTCCCTTGAGTGTTTCTTAGGGCAGGTCTGTGAGCCACGAACTGCCTCGGCTTTGGTGGCACGGGAAGGTCCATTCCTCCTTCACTGTTGAAGGACGGTTTTGCCAGATGGGGAATTCTTGGCTGACGGTGTTTTTCTTTCAGGATTCTAAGTGTGCCGTCCCACTGCCCTCTGGCCTCCCTAGTTCCTGGTGGGAAGTCGACGCTCATCCTTACTGAGGCTCCTTGTACGCGGAGAGTCACTTCTCTTCTGCTACTCTGCAGGCTCTCTCTGTCTCTCATTGTGGATCTCTGTTTGTAGTCCTTCCAGTTAATTGAACTTCTTCAACTTGTAGATTCATATCTTTCATCAAATTTGAAAACTTTTCAGCCATTATTCTTCAATTCTGCAGATATTCTTCTGCTCCTTTCACCCCCTCCTCTGGGCTCCATTATGCATTTTTGGTTTCCTGTGGTTTTGGCCTTTTACTATGTCTTGTATTTTTTCTTGATAGCTGAGCGTGACATCCTGGGTGACAGGAGCTGCTGTAAATGGGCTGTTAGTGATGGGGGTCACAGTCCTCTGGTCAGACCTCAGTCTGTGGTGAACCCCTGCCCACAACCGTGAATGTCCTATGTGCTTCTCACTCACTCATGCACACACCCCCCCCCAGGCAGAGCGGGACGGCTAGAGTGCGTTGGGTCCGGGCGTTCCCCTAAGCCCCAGTTCAGTTAGGCTCCAATAAAACCCCGTCAGGTTAGGCCCTGGTTAGCTGCTCTCCCCTGAGGCTAGGCCTTGTGAAGGAGAGCAGTGTGGACGGCGTGTTCCGGAACGGTTCCTTCCCTCCTCTGCCAGAGCATGAGGGGCCGTTCTCCAGCACGCACCATGAGCGCCCGCTGGAGCTCCTGCCGCAGCGCTCACAGAAGTGTGGGCCGCAACTCACCCCAGTGGGCTTCACCTCTCAGACTTGCCCACTGGCCCCCAGCGACCGTCAGCCATGCTCGGGGTTCCTTTCTGGCGCTGGGTCCTGGGGTGGTTCGTGCTCCGGTCACTGTGACTCTGTACTTGCCTGCTGGTCTCCAAATTTGGGACAGCACTTGGCCCTGTGACTTCACTTCTCTTACAGATCTAAGAAGGTGGTTGATTTTTCAGTGTGTTCAGCTTTTCACGTGTTATCAGGACAGGGTGACTTCCCAGCTTCTGACAAGCCAGCCTGGAGGCCGGAAGCGTCCCACCTAGGACGTTTTCATTTCAGTCATTGGCTTTTTAACTCTGGAATTTCCATTTGATTCCTTTTATATAATTTTCACTTCTCTTCTGAGATTCTCTATTTCTTGAATCATTGTCATTATATTCATTTAATTCTTTGAACATACTTATATTATCTGCTTTGAAGTCTTTGCTAGATTCAACATCTGGGCCCACTCAGTCAGATTCTGTCTACTACTTTTTTTCCTAAATATGGGTCACACTTTCCTGTTTGCATTAATTGTAAAGTTTTACTGAAACTGGATATTTCAGATGCTATATATAGCATCTCTGTATAGTAACTGGATTCTGAACTGCTTTCCTGAGTATTTTGGTTTATTTTAGTACATTTTCTGGACCTAAATTACAAAAATTTCATTTTCAGGGTCTCCCTGTTAAGTACTTGGCTGGCCCGATGCCCGCTCCACCTGGGCCAGTGCCCCAAGCCATCAGTGCTGTCACTTTTCTCCGTTAGTTTTCACAAGGCTCACCCTTTTGGCTCCAAGGCCCCTGCCCCACTTCCACCCTCTGCTGCTCTGTTTGCAGCCCTGAGCTGTTGACACTCCTGTTTGCTGGTCCAGGGGCTGGGCAGGGAGCAGCCCCCAGTGTGAAGGCTGCAGACCCTCCCCGTGTTCTGTCCCCAAACTGGGCAGTTTTTAAAGAATAATCATTTCTCGGTGTCTTGTCTGCTTTAGTCGATTTCCACAGCTCTGAAGCTGTGAATTTTGTAATTTTGCTCAGCTTTAGCCTTGTTTTTCTGTGGGGAGGATTTTACCATCTTTGTACGTGGCTGTGGCTAGAACTCACCACCTTCTTTGTAGTTTCAAATGCTTTTTTTCAGGTTCAAGTTTTTACTTATTCTGGAACGTCTTTCCATGAAAGTTGTGAGGTGGTTGGTTGAGTTGGGGTGTTTTTTTATAGAAAACCAATTTTTTTCTTACTGTTTTTTTAAAGATTGGCACCTGAGCTAACATCTGTTGCCAATCTTTTTTCTTTTTTTTTCTTCTTCTCCCCAGAGTCCCCCAGGTCATAGTTGTATATTCTAGTTGTAGGTCGTTCTGGCCCTGCTTTGAGGGACGCTGCCTCAGCACGGCCTGATGAGCGGTGCCGTGTCCACGCCCAGGATCCAAACCGGTGAATCCCTGGGCTGCCGAAGCCAAGTGCGCAAATTTAACCACTTGGGCACGGGGCTGGTCCCAGGAGACCAATTTGTAGCTTTTTCCTTGTGAAATCCATAATCCATCTGTTTCTGACTTTGTAATGCTTCCCCTGTCCTGTGTGAAGTTTCTGTGTGCATGGGGCTCTTCCTGGGTGCTCTTTTCATTCCACTGATCAATTTGCCCATTCTCTTAGGTTTTTTTTTTTTTTTTTAAAGATTGACGCCTGAGCTAACAACTGTTGCCAATCTTTTTTTTTTTTTGCTTTCTCTTCTCAAATCCCCTCAGTACATAGTTGTATATCTTAGTTGTGAGTCCTTCTAGTTGTGGCATGTGGGACGCTGCTTCAACATGGCCTAAGGAGCAGTGTCACGTCCACGCCCAGGATCCGAACCAGCAAAACCCTGGGCCGCCGAAGCGGAGCATGTGAACTTAACCACTTGGCCACAGGGCGTGCCCCTCTCTTAGTTTTAAATTCATTTTATGGATATGCCACTAACTACTCCCCATGGTTGGAAATTTAGGTTATTTCCAAATCTTTTGTATTTGGTTAATATACTTGTGGCTAAATCTTTGCATACTTTCATTATTATTTTTTTTAGGATCATTTCTTAAAAGGACTTGCTGGGTTAAAGAGTAATATACCAAATTTTAAGGCTTCTAATGTCACCGAGGATTCCTGCAGAAAGGTTTACTTAGTGGTGTCTGTGGCTGTATGGACGTGTGTGTGCATGTGTGTGCGTGGGTTGAATTCACCCCTGGGTTGGCCTGCCCTTCCGAACACGCTGTTTTGCTGCTCAGCTGAACAGGGCTTTCAGCTATAGAGTCTCCATGGCAGTGTACGTTTGGGGCCCAGTCTTGCAGCTGCTGGTGCCACTCGGTCATTGGCAGTGCCCTGGGTGCCTGAGGACAGTCGTTGTGAGAAGGAGGTGCCTGGAATCCTGCTGGGGGAGGTGTCGGAGGCCATCTTTCTCCACCATGGGAGGGCACCATGGAAACTCTTTCCATTTCCTCTCCATTGTCTTCGCCACCGATTCCTGCCTAGAAAGACAGCCATGGCCAACATTGGCTCCATGTCACAGAGTAAATGCCAGCCCTCGATTGCTCTTGTTGGGTTAGAACAGCTTCCTCTTGAAGTTATGGCACAGTGGAAGTCAGTGTGTGGTTGGTTTCTTCATGTCTTTATTTGGCAAAATTGAAGATGGCAGGCCTTGGTCCCCACACTTCCTCCTCCTCCTCCTCCTCTTCTTCCTCCTCCTCCTCCTTTCTTCTCCCCACCCCACCCCCGTCTCTCTCGGTTTTGGTTTTAATTTCACTGGTTCACTGATACTAAGAGTTAAGGCACCAGTATGAGAACTGGATTCTCCCAGTCACTTTGTGGGGACTCAGTCCTGTGCGCACACACCTGCCTTCACTGTCTGTTCATCTCTGATGGAGAGGCACTGGGGACCTAGAGTCACAGGGCCGTCTGCTGGCCATGTGGTTTCTCTAACCCAGAAGGCTGGGGAGTGACACGAAGCATCTTGTCCTCTGAGTAGCCAGATCCACCCCCAGAGAAAGCATGAGAGTGCAAGAGGGCACAAGCACACAAGTGTGTGTGTATGTGTACATTATATACCTGTGCATGTGTGCATGCATGGGTATATGTATGTATACGTGTGTGTGCGCATGTATGCCTGTGCATAGGTGTGTTTGTGTGCATGGGTATGTATGTGTATATGTGTGTGTGTTTAGCGTGCACGTGTATGTGTGTGTGTGCATGTTTCTGTCTGTCTCCCTCTTTCTCCCTCCCTTCAGGGCAATGCCTAGGCAGGTAGACTTGGTTCTTCTGGGCTCACTTGCCGCTGATGGGCCATGTCTGAGCCCCCACCCTCTGTGGCCCTCTCTGCAGGTTCTCCCATGGGCAGGTGGTCTCTGTGGATGAGCTGCGCCCCTTCCAAGACCCAGACCTGAGCTCTCTGAAGGCTGGCTCTGCATGTCTGGCCAAGCAGCAAGACGGCCTCTGGCACCCAGCGCGGATCACTGGTGAGGCTGCCTGTGGCCTCCTTGACAGGGCCCTTCCTTGAAAGCCCTCTCCGTGCTTCACACGTGGTGTTCTCATATGACCACTCCTTTGGTTGGGCCTGGGGACCCTGCTCTGTGCCCAAGAGGAGAAAGACCACCCTTGCCTCGGCCCCACGTTGCTCCCAACTTCCACTGTGGCTTCTACCACCTGTTGAGGCTGCTGACCTGGCCTGTCTTTGTCCCCCCACCTCCAGATGTGGACAGTGGCTACTACACAGTCAAGTTTGACTCACTGCTGCTGAAGGAAGCCGTGGTAGAGGGGGACAGCATCCTGCCCCCACTGCGCACAGAGCCTGCAGGGTCCTCTGACTCAGACAGCAGCGACCCAGATGACCCCAGTTATGCCAGAGGTATGGCAGCGGCTCAGGCTCAGGGTCCCAGAAGCCAGGAGGGTAGGGACAAGGGGCAGCACTGGTAGCAGTCATCCTGAGAGGCCCCCAGCTGGTGGGGTACCCTGACTGTTAACTAGATGGTGAGAGAGCATGACTGCAGTGAGGTGGGCGGTGCTCATTAGGTGGACCCCCTGCAGAGGGGCACTAGTTGTTCCTGAGGAGGCATGGAAACCCCCACAGGAGGTTGGGGAGATGAGAGAGTGCGTGAAGAGTCTGAGGCAGGACTGGAGACCCACAGACACAAAGACCTGGCCCTTGTCTTAAAGGAGTGCATGTGCAATGATTACAGTCCCACATGATGCAAACCTGTGGCCGTGGCAACTGGAGGGCAGGGGGCCACTGATGCAGGAGCTGCTGAGGAAGTTGATGCATGGGAGGGGACTGGTGGGACGTGGAATGCAGGAAGGAGCAGCTCCTTGCAGTGGCTTCTACTTAGGGCCTGGGTGCCCTGCGGACGGAGGAGGGGCTGTGTCCAGACAGCTGGGGATGGGAGAGTTCCGGGAAGGGGCACTGGCTGGCAGTGTCCAGCCCTCCTGAGGTTCAGTTAGGATGAAGATGGGAGGTGTCCCCGTGGGATATGTTACATGAGTTGGTGGTTTCTGAAGCCCCATGTCCGTGGTGATGGAGGGGAGGACTGAGCTGAGCAGGTGAAGTCGGTGACTGCTCTCCATGAGGGGAGCGGGGCAGCTCCCCACCTGGAGAGGTAGGTCAGGGTGGGGCTGTGTTGGGAGGCAGCCATGCAACCAGGAGGGCTGGAGCAGACTGTGCCGGACTCTGCCACAAGCTCTGTCTATTGTCACGTGCCACCACCGGCCTGGGCAACCGGCAGAGAGCCCGAGGTGCTGCGGATCACGGCCCTGGCCCAGAGCCGAGCTGGAGCCCAGCCTGCTTCGTGTCCAGCTGGGCTGAGCCATTGCCCTTCATTTCCTGCAGTGATGGAGCCTGGTGCTGCCGACCATGGGACCTGCAGCTCTGCCTTCGCTGGCTGGGAGGTGCACACACGGGGTATTGGCTCCAGACTCCTTGCCAAGATGGGCTACGAGTTTGGCAAGGGTGAGTATGTGCTGCACCGGGGAAGGGAGGGTGCTGCCACCACACAGCCCAGGGGTCCAGCAGCAGTAGTACCAGCCCCGTGTGCCCCTAGGTCTGGGTCGACACTCCGAGGGCCGGGTGGAGCCCATCCACGCCGTGGTGCTGCCTCGAGGGAAGTCACTGGACCAGTGTGCAGAGATACTGCAGAAGAGGGCCAAAGGCAGCAAGGCTGGCACCAGCAGCCTCCCAAAATGCCCAGGGAGAGGGGGCAGGCCTAGGGGCCGCCCACCCCCACGTAGTGTCTTTGACTTTCTGAATGAGAAGCTGCAGGGCCAGGACCCTGAGGCCCTGGAGGCTGGGGCAGCTCCCCCGGGCAGGAAGAGCGGCACAGAAACATACCGAGGCACCACGAGCACCAAGCGGGCCCTGAGCCTGCAGCTTTTCCAGACTGAGGAGAAGATCGAGCAGACCCAGCGGGACATCCGGGGCATTCAGGAGGCCCTTGCCCGCAACACAGGCCGGTACGTATGGGGCCGAGCTCAGGGCAGAGGGCGGGTGCCCAGCCCACGGTTCACATGCAGGACCTTACCCTAACCCGGGGGTGGCGGGCCAAGTTTGAGGAGTGTCTGGATGATTAATGGTGATGGGCAGTGGCCACAGCAGCCTGAGGGTTTCATGGCAGCGACCCAGGAGCCCACGCTGAATGGTGGGCCCCTCTCTAGGCACAGCGTGATGGTGGCCCAGCTGCAGGAGAAGCTGGCGGGAGCCCGGCGGCAGCTGGGACAGCTCCGGGCCCAGGAGGCAGGCCTGCAGCAGGAGCAGAGGAAGGCAGACACCCACAAGAAGATGACTGAGTTCTAGAGCCCCTGCGCGCACACTGGCTGAGCCCAGAGACCCCTGCTCCCGGCTGCCTCAGGAAGACCAGCTGTTGCCCAGCAACCAGGATGCCACCAGAAGAGGGGCTAGCCTCCACAGCTGGCCTGCTTGCCAGCGGGGGCGTGTGGACACTGCTGAGTGGAGATGGGCTGCAGGGATCACTCTGGACACTTACTTGCCCGTCAAGTCCACCTGCCAGTGTCTGAGGGCATCTCCTGAGCAAGGACATTAAAGTGATTTTGTTGCGTGTCTTTCCGTGGAGGCTCGGCTGGCTGTGGGGTCTTTGGAGAGAGAGGAGTCTCTGCACCAGGCGGGGGGGCGGGCTAGAGGGGTCCCGAGTGAGGCTGCTGCCCCCTGCCCAGAGGCAGAAGGCCCAGGAGGACTGGCATTCTCCCTGCTCTCCCAGATGAGGCGGTCAGAGCCCAAGGTGCCCCACATGTTGCCTGACACCCAGAAATGGGTGGAGCGCGGTGCTGCAGTGGTGGGAGGAGACTGTGAACCGCAGCAGGCCTTGGGGAGTGCTGTTAAGGAGGCAGGAGGACCTGGGTGGCGTGGGTTGGGAGCCCGTGAGCCTGGGTTTAGCCCCAACACTCGGCGGCCATGAGACCGCCCAGTTCCCATGTGTGCTGGGCCTGTCTCCTCACCAGCTCGAGCCCCCCTCACCGTGGGTGGAGACGACGTGAGTTAGTCTCGGAACAGTGCCAGCTCGCAGCTCACACCCACCAGTAACGTCTAGACCCCAGGCGGGGGCCACAGCAGGTGGGTGAGGCCGAGGCAGTGGCTCTCCTGGGAGCAGCTGCAGCAGGGGGTGAGCTGCTGCGTGGGGAGATGCAGCAAGCTGCATGGGCAGGAAGTGAGGGGGGAGCTCGCTGAGGGCTGCATGAAGGTGCCGTTCAAGGTACCCGAGCTGCCTGGCCGACCCCAGGGGCTGAGGAGGTGCCACCACGCCTTTGGCCTGGGTAAGTCCTGCTCCGGCTTCCAGCCTGACCAGGTCCCCAGGCCCCTCCTGAGGGCAGCTGAGGGCTGGGCTCTGGGAGGACTAGGCCCTATCAGGTCAGTACACTGGGACCTGGGCTGGGACCAGGTTAGCCAGCCTGGGCCCTCTGTGAAGGAAGCCCACTCCCTGGGCCTGAGTGGACGGGCCCCACCTCCAGAGACCCCACCCGCCGTTTCTGCTGCTGGACTAAAGGCTGTGCTGATTGTGCAGTAGACTCCCACCCCAGCAGTTCTGCTGAGGCCTCAGGAAGCAGACAGGTCCAGGGGCAGGGACCGTTGGAGGTGCGGGGTAGGGAGCCAGGGAGAGGTGGGGTGGGGGCGGTCAGTGCCCAGAACAGCCCCTTCTGCCTGCTCCCCCTTTCCAGCTCCCCAAGGGGCCAAGCTCTGTAGAGGATGGATGGGCATCACCCGAGACAAGGCCCATGCCTGGGCAGGGCAGGGCCACAGGTGAGCGGCCTGTGGCTCGCAGGCCCAGGGGTGTGACCTCAGGGGCTTCCCCAGGTCTCAGGTTTGGGCTGTAGCGATCACAGCAGGGCCTGGGCCTGGTCACAGCTGCCCTGCCCCTCCTCACTGGCCATGCTCAGCCGTCACCTGGGTCATCCTTGCTGACCTGGGTACTCGTAGGGCCAGGCAAAGCACACCTCCTCACACCACCAGGAGCCCCCACCCAGAGGGTGGGCGCTGAGGCTGTGTCCTTGTGGTGTCTGTAGGGGGAGGGGCTGTGGAGCCTTGGGGTTTCCTGTGTGCTGAGTCAGTGTGCCCAAGGGGAGGAGACCGCCCGGCAGCATGAGGTACAGCAGTGGGGCTGCCAGGTGGGCTCCAGTCCCTCAGTCTGCCCCAGCACCCCTGTCTTCTGCCCCCAGGCCAGTCCTCAGCTTCACAGGATGGGGCCACAGGTGCCCGCAGCCCCTCCTGCCCTCTGGGTCCTGGGGTGCCTTGCCCTGCTCCTCTTGCTGTGGGCGCTGTGCGCAGCCTGCCGCAGGTATGTCCACCCCTGGCCTAGGTTTCCCGTGGGGCCTGGCTCAGCTCTGGGACCAGAGCGGGTGGGACTTCAGGCAGGTCCCATCCAGCTCTCTGCCCCGCCTCCCTCCTGGGCTTGGACCAGAGGCTGGCACCCCTTCCCCTGTCTGCTCCTTGGCCTGACAACCCCCACCCCCACATGTGCTCCTTGGCCTGACACCCCCCCCACCCCCACATCTGCTCCTTGGCCTGACACCCCCCCACCCCCACGTCTGCTCCTTGGCCTGACGCCCCTCCTGCCCTCAGGAAGCAGACACAGAGGCAGCAGGCCCGCCTGCAGGGCAGTGTGATGCGGGCTGAAGTGGTGAGTGCCAGGCTGTCCCCGGGGCCAGGGAGGGGCCAGCAAGGGACCGACCAGCCTTCCTTGCCCCCAGTCACTGCTGAGACGACCCCACCTCTGCTCCCTCAGCAAGTCGGACACCAGACTGCATGAGCTGCACGGGGGCCCTCGTGGCAGCAGAGGTGAGCTGAGTGAGAAGGGGCAGCCCGGTGGCGGGAGGGGCTTACTGCATGGCACCTTGACCTATCCCCTGACCCCACCCCCAGCCCTGCGGCCTGCCAGCATGGATTTCCTGCGCCCACAATGGCTGGAGGAGTCCAGAGGCACCATCAGGCCTCCAGCAGCCTTCTCACACCGGGAGCTGCCCCAAGCACCCTCCATCAGCCCCGAGGCCACCTATTCCAACGTGGGGCTGGCTTCGATTCCCAGGGCCAGCCTGGCAGCCAACCCTGTGGTGTGGGCAGGGGCACGACTGACCAGCAGCTGTGCCAGGCCTGGGCCTGAGGTCAGACCCGTGGTGGCTGAGTATGGTTGCATCCAGAAGCTCCAGGGAACAGGTCCAGGCCCCCAAGCCCTGGAGCAGAGGAAGGCCCAGGTGATCCCAGCTGCTGAGGTAAAATGGAGGGGGCCAGGGAGGGGGGTGGGACTGGGCAGATCCTTGGCAGAGTGGATGGTGCTGACCCCTCTCTGGGTCGGCTTCCTATTTCCAGGTGGACATCCTGTACTCCAAGGTTAACAAGCCTAAAAGGAGGAGCCCAGGACCTGTCATAGACCAGCCGGACCCCAAGGGCAGGGGTGCGATTCTGGTTCTGGGGAGTGACCGGGCCTATGAGGCCCTCCCACTGAGGGGCCGAGGCGTGGACAACAGCCTTCTGGAAAACGTGTATGAAAGCATCCAGGAGATGGGGGCCCCTGAGCGCCTGCAGCCGCCCAGCTCTGGCTATTAGCACGAGTGGACACGTGCAGGGCACACAGGCCCCTGGCTGCCTGCCCCAGACCGTGGAGGGCTCTCCAATTGCTCCCTGCCCCCAGCACCAAGCGCAAATGTTCCTTCCTCCACCCGCCCCACAGCCCACAGCACAAGTTCCAGATCCCAGGGCTGCCAGCCTGAGGGCCCCGGGGCCTTGGCTGCGTGGCCTCTCCGGGCCAGCGTCTCAATAAATCCCCTGCGCGGAGGAGGAACGCAGCCCTGCCTCACAGCCTCCTCTTCTCCTAAAGCCTGGCGGGGTTGGAGGGGAGGGGGGCTGCTGTCTGGAAGGAGGAAAGGCATCTCCCTGGCCTCGGGACAAGCTTTCTCCGGCCGGGGGGCCGGGGCCCTGCCAACCGAGGCCGTGCCGGCCGGTCAGGCTCAGAAGGCTGTCGGGAGGGCGGCGAGGGCGGGAGGCGGTTCCCTGGCCGTCGGTCCTGCGGGGCAGTGCCGCCCCAGGGTGGGACTTGGGGCCTGAAGGCCGAGGGAGGGCTCCGCCGCCAGCCCCGCAGTTACGTAAGGCGGGGGAGTGGGCAGTCGTGCGTTAAAGAATAACCTGCTCCCGGGAAGCCCGCCAAGCGGACGCGGCCCCTTCCCGGGCCGCCACGCCGCGAGGAAGCGGCCGCCGGGCGGCGGGGGCGCGGGGGCGCGCGGGTACCGGGCTCGGCCGGGCGGGGGGGCTGGGCCCCTTCCTCGGCCGCTTCCTCGGCCGCGCGGGAGCAGCCGCCCGGGGCGGGGCCGGAGGGGCGGGGCCGCGGGGCGCAGGCCAATCGGGGCGCGGCCGGCCGGGCCCCCTCGGAATGTTGATACCGCGCGCGGGCCAATGGGCGCGCGCCGGGGCGGGGCGCGCGGAGGGGCGGGGCCGGCCGGCAGCCTGCGGGCCGCGCGGCGCGGGCGGCGGCCGATCCAGGGCGGGGGTCGCGGCCCGGCCAGCCCGGCCCGGCCCGGCCCGGGGCCGCGTCCGAGCGTCCGCCCTCGCCGCTGCAGCCTGGCGCCCGGCCGGCCGGCCATGGAGGCCGAGCGCCCGCCGGCGCCCGGTCCAGGCTGCGGGCGCCCCCCGCCCCGCGCCGCAGGCCGGGACCCCGCGGCCGCCCCCGTGCCGGTGTCCGCGCCGCCGCAGGTACCGGGCGCGGGGGGCCGACCGAGCTGCAGCCGCGAATATGGCGTCGGGGCTGCTCGGACTCCGGGGGCGGGGCGGGGCAGGGGGGAGTCGCGCCGGTCCGCGCGTGTCCGTGGGGCCCGGGGGCCCAAGCCGGGCTCCGGGAGCGCTTCCCGCCGCGCGGGGCCGGGGGCGGGGCCGGGGCCGCGCTGGCCGCAGCGGGCGGGGCGTACCGAGCGGATCCTGGGCGGGGGTAGGGGGTTCCGGACCGCCGCCCCCGCTGAGCTGGCCCGGTCCACAGGGCCTTCCCGGGGGCGGCGGCTTTGCAGGCTTGGAGTTCGCGCCGGAGCCGCGGGCCGCGGACCTAGGGGCCTCGGGGACGTGGGCGGGGGCGGCGGGGCCTCCGACGCCGTCGGCGCACATCCCGGTGCCAGCGCAGAGGTGAGCCGGTGCAGTGCGCACACGTGCGCCGGTGTATGCGGGGGTGGGGGCGGCGCGGGCACGTGCCTCCCGATCCCCCCACGGCGGGCCTCGGTGAGGGGCGGGTCAGGGTCCCAACTGGGTTTCTGCTCCTTCCAGCTCTCCAGCCCAGAAGTTGAGGAGAAATGGTCAATATGTTAATATCCTTGTTTCCCACAAATCCTGGGGCCAGAGAGCAGATCTGGGAGGGAGCTGTTGTCAGTTTCTGTGCAGAAGAGGCTGCGCGGCCGGCTAGGGGGTCGACTGTCCAGGAATCCTTGGACTTCTGACCGCCATCTCCCCAGCCTGGCCGTGAAACCTGCCTGGGTGCCGGATACCGGGCTAGCTGCGCAGGCGGGGGCGGGCTCTGGCCTGGCCGCCTGGGGCCCCAGGACCCGCGTGTGCTTCAAGCCCGTCTCCCCTGGCTGCTGCTAGCTGCTGGCTGCTCCCGCCCTCCCAGCCTGGCGGTAGGCCCACAGCTGCTGTTGTGCAACCCTGGTTAATGTGTGATGGGGAGGGGGGGGCCGGGCCTGGCCTGGCCCCATCAGTGGGGCCTCAGACCCCTGTCCAGCACCAGGGTCTGAAGGAGCCACTGAGGAACAAAGCCCAGGCAGCAGAGAAGTCAGGCTTCGGGTAGGCCCCAACCCAGGCCCTGTTCCTGGTGGTTCCTGGAGATTTGGGGCTCTGCAATCTGAGCTGGGGGTGGAGCTGGGCCTCCCGCCCAGCTCCTGGAGTGAGGGAGCCTGGTACACACACACGTGCCCAGGCCTGCACGTGTGTGTGTATGCTGGGTCAGGGGAGGGGCCTGGAGTACTTGCTGGGCCCCACCCGTGCCCCGCCCCCATCTCCTCCAGAACCCCCCCAGGAAAAGCCAGGCTGGACGAGGTCATGGCTGCGGCAGCCCTCACAAGCCTGTCCACCAGCCCCCTCCTGCTGGGGGCCCCAGCTGCAGCCTTCAGCACAGGTGAGACTTAGAGCCTGGCATGGGGTAGGGGTTGGGGCAGGGCCCAGGACCACTGTCTCTCCAGAACCCTACAGTGGGTGAGCCCCTGTGGGGCAAGCAGAGCCCCCTCACCTGGAACACCACCTTCTAAACACACCTCTTGAGGCCTAAAACAGACATCTGGACCCCAGTGCCGCTCACAGAGGCCAAGCCACAGTGCCCCAGACCTGTGGGCCCTGTGATCTGTTCACACATCTCCATCTCGCAGGCATCTCTCCACAGAGAACTTCTCTGATTATCTTTCCCTGTATTGGGGAGGCTAGTCCCCTGCTGCTGGGGCCGGCTCCTCCTGGTCACTTGCCTTCTCCAGGAGGCTCTGCCCACCGAGCTCACCTGTGAACAGAGAGACAGGTGGAGTCTCAGCGTTAAGGGACTTGCAGCTGGCAGTTCCTGCAGAGCAGCCTGAGCCTGAGCTGCAGTCCTGACCCCAGCGCTGGTGTGTCCCCACAGAGGCTGGCGCGGAGCCCTGGAAGGAGGTCCTGGTGCGGCCGCCAGGCAGCTGCAGCAGCAGCAGCAGTGGGGACTGGGGCTGGGATCTGGCCAGCGACCAGTCCTCTCCGTCCACCCCATCGCCCCCGCTGCCCCTCGAGGCAGCCCACTTCCTGTTTGGGGAGCCTGCCCCGAGGAAGAGGAAGGTGAGCCTGGGGGCAGCCCTCAGGATGGGATGCACATGGGTGGCCTAGCCTGACCACTGGCCCTTGTCGCCCAGAGCTCGGCGCAGGTGCTGTTCCAGTGTCTGTGGAAGCGCTGTGGGAAGGTGCTGAGCACGGCCTCCGGGATGCAGAGACACATCCGCCTGGTGCACCTGGGGTGCGGTGGGGCTGGCAGGTTGGGGGGGCGGGCCAGGCGGGCCACCGCTTCAGCTCCCCCCCGCCATGTCCCCAGCAGGCGGCAGGCGGAGGCGGAGCAGAGCGATGGCGAGGAGGACTTTTACTACACGGAGCTGGACGCTGGTGTGGACACACTGACCCGTGGGCTGGCCAGCCTGAGCCCAGCATCCCCCATAGCCTCCGCACCACCTGCCTTCCCTAGCCTAGAGCTGCCAGAGCCCCTGGCCCGCCCCCACGTGTGGCACCGTGACCACGCCTACCAGGTGGGGGAAGCCACAGGCAGCAGCTGGGGTCGGTGCTCAGGGCGCCCCAGAAGGAAGTGAGGCCACAGCTGTGTCTCCTTTCAGGGCTGCCTGGCACCCGTCCGCCTGGAGCCACCACCCACCACAGTCAGGGCCTGCGTGCCCGCCCTGCCCACCAAGCTCGGTGCCAACCCGAGGTGCGTGTGTGTGGAGGACTGGGGCAGGCGCCAGGCAGGGAGGGTCCTGGCCTGACAGCGTCCCATGACCCCCATGTGTCCCCCAAGGAAGCCCCGAGGTGATGCCAAGAAGTGCCGGAAAGTGTATGGCATGGACCACCGGGACCTGTGGTGCACGGCCTGCCGCTGGAAGAAGGCGTGCCAGCGCTTCCTGGACTGAGCCCACCACCCTGGTGCCACTGCCCGCCACCCGGCAGGGCTTTTTAAAGGGGAAAATAAGCTACCCACCCCCCAGCCAGGGGCCTCTCCTAGCCGCAGAGTCTACTTTTTAATGTAGGGGGTAGCCGGTGACCCTGGAGCCCCAGAGGTGGAGGGGGGTCCCATCACTCAAAGTGCCTCTGAAGAAACCAGCCTTTTGCACTAAAGCCAAACCCCACGGCTGCCCCCTTGGCCCCAGGACCCTTGGGAGGGGGCCCACCCTCCCCGCCTCTCAGCTGGTGGACTTGTCAGGGTGCTGAAGGGCCTGGCTTCTGGGCCACACGGGGTCCGGTCCTTGATGCACTTTGAGGGGTATCAGGGAAGGCCTCCCCTGCCCGCACTTAACCTGATGGCTCTACGTTTGTGCCGCGTTTTCAAAGCTCAGGTGTCTCGCGTCTGGGCTCCACCAGGCGAGGAGAAAAATTAAAGATTTGAGTTTTTTCCAGAAGCTGGGTCTGCCTCCTGGGGGGGAAGGGCATGGAAGTAGGGGCCTGCCACAGGTAGGGTGGTGGGCAGGTGGGCCAGGGAGGCCGGCATCAGGCCACAAAGGGCTGGGGGTCACTCTCTGGCCACCTCTACCCAGGGTGAGGCCAGAGGAGGGGACACTGAAACACAGAAGGCGTCTGCTTGAGCAGCAATTTCCGAATTTATTGAAAGTGATCACTTTGCAAGAATGTCTAAGCTAACCCCATCACAGAAAGGAAACCCACAGGCAGGCCCAGAGCGTGCCCAGGCCGACGAGAAACCGCAAGACCACTAGAGAAAGTACTGATGACCTGTCCTATGGCTACAGAGAAGCAGACAGCAGAGCTGTGATTTCCCACCAACCAATACGAAAACCTTCTCCCCCAAATGTTAAACACATCTCCAGTACAAACACAGGTTTATAACAATTAATATAAAGTCGATATAATATAGCTTATCCCCAGAAAAAATCAACAATCTTCAAACACTGCCCCTTTTTTGTCTGTTTTGTTTTTGTTGACAGGTTGAAAGCATGTTGAAAAAATAAATATTTAAGAAAAGCACATACAGCACCCTCACCACACAGAGTTCTAAAAGGGCTGCATACAAAACACAACAGAGGATCTAAAAAATTAAAACCACCACCATTCAGTATGGCTTTCTTAAGAGGTGCACATGTCACAGAATGAGCAAAAATAAGATTATCTTTCATAATATTGCAAAAAGTTCCAGTTTTTGCATTTTCTCAGAGTTTTCTTTTTTAAAAAGCAAGATGTGCAAAGTTGGAAGCAGTAGCTGTGTCTCTTGAGTAAATAAAGGTCCCTCTTGAGTCCTGGCAGTGTTGTGACTGCTCCCCAGACCCAGAGTCAAACATACAACCTGGTCAGGATCCAGAGCTTGACACGAAAGTCGTGGTTTCCTTGCCCCACCCCCACCCCAAGAACTCACCACCCAAGTGACTGTTCCATTTGTGGCGTTGCCAACACCAAAATACAGGCAGACATAAACGGAAAAGTACAAAATGTGAAATGTAATCTACACAGTTTTTCCTCTTCGTAAAAAAATATTTATTAGTTTCAACATTGATTAAAAAAAAAAGATCAGTCACATAAAAAAAAGCCTCATTACGCGTCTTTTTCCTCCACGCCTCCCGAGAGGTGATGTGTTCATCTCCATCTCTGAAATCCAACACTCTCCGATCAGAAACCGCACACGAGAATAATGAACCTGCCACACAGCAGACGCCTGGGGAACCTGTGGGACAGGACACGGGACCCTTGGTTTTCAGTACAGTATTGGTTTTAAGGAGGAAAACGCCCTGTGGCACTGACAGCGAACCCCTAAAAAGGCCAGTGAGGGCAGTGCAGAGCGGGAGCGCGTTGGTCACAAAGAGCAGGATGTCCTGAGTGCGGAGGAAGAGGTGGCCGGGACGTGGGCAGGGCAGCCTGAGAGGTGGGACCGGTAAAAAATCCAGAGACACTTGTTGGTAACAAAGGTCTGGTTTCCAAATGCATTTTATAAGAAAGTCAGTCTGTTTACAAAAGGGCTTAGAAAGTGGGAGGGGACACAGTTCTGAGCCCTGCCGGGCGGGCCCCCTGGGGAAGGCAGAAAGGGAAGTATGTCCCCGAGCCCCCTTCCGATCCTCCGCCCTGCACTGGCCTCAGCAGAAGCAGCCTGCAGTCCGCCCTGCCCCCGAGGGAGTTGGGGAGGATCGCGGGCTTTTCTCTGAAGCCACCAGTGCTGAGGTGCTCACAGCCTCCCCGGCTGAGAGATGTGGGTGCAGGCAAGCCAGACGACAGCTCTGTCAAGAGCACCGCCTTCTCACCAAGAGAAACAGCGGCTGATCGTAATAAAAACAAAGCTGTGGCTTCTCCCCAGGCGCAGGCTTCAAGGACAGCACCGGCCGTGCGTGCACACAGGCAGCCAGGGAGGCTGGCACCCCGCGTGCTACTGGGGGCATGTGCGCCAGGCCACCAGCGGAACCTAAGTTAGGGTTTGTTTTGTGGGATTTCCCTTTTTCCACCCAGAGAGAGTAGATGTGACACAATGAAAAACTTGGTAAAAGCCATTTGGCTCACAGTCTGTGGAAAAAGAGAAAATGAAAGGCTGTCTCTCCAGTGAGGCCCCAGCTCAGCATCCTGAGGGGGTCCTCGCGCCGAGTGGGCAGGGTGGGAGAAGGAGACGGAATGTCTTAGTAAGGAGTGTCATCAGGGATGGCCTTAACAAGGAGGCGGACAGCAGTGAGGGGCATCCTCACAGGGTGATGCTGGCCCACTGGCAGAAAAAAGAGGGCGAGTGGGTCGTGGGCTCGTCCAAAAAGACAGCAGGGGGACGTGACAACAAGCCGAAAGAATGACGACTCTGTTTCCTCAAGTGAGAAAAATAATGCCAAACAAAGTAACTATGTAACTACCTCAAAGTCTCTACTCAAGAAGTTTGGTTACCCGCCAGGGAGTGAGCAGCACGCGGCAGTTGAATACCACCTCCAGTGTTAGCAGCGACAAAGGCAAGCGCACCCAGGAGGTCAGCAGGAGCGGCCTGGGCGCGACGGGACGGCAGAGCTGAGGGGACAAGGCCAGCCCCCGGCTCTCCAAGGAAGTGCACACAGAACAAAGAGCCGAGGCCCCCCAAAGGGACCCCAAGTGGCCTGCAGTGGGAGCACGGAGCCCTGCCTGGGAGGAGCGGGTGCTTCAGTCCCCACGCTGCCGCCTCCCCCCGAAGATAGCACCTGGGAGCGCTCGGCTGCAGCAGGGGCCTCTGCAGCTGTTTTGTGTAGAGCACCAAAGTCCCGAGGCAGGTGGGCCGTGGCTTTCTGTACACAGGCCTGAATTCTGCAGGCTGCACAACGGGGCAGAGCCACGAGGGCAGGAAGCAGCAGTGGCCACAGGCAGTGACCAGGCTGCTGAGAAGGGGGGATGGAGGGGAGGGCAGAAGGGAGGGAGGAGGGTGGACTCGAGCACTGGACGCCAGGACTCGGGTATAGCAAACTCTCCTCAACGTCTCTTGGACCTGTGGCCTCGGAGGCTGCGCTCGGGGGCCGCACTCGTGACCCCAACCAGCGCTGGCCCTGAACTGGCCACTGGGCCTCCCTGCGTCCAGAGGCCAGGCGGGCCACACGGGCTCCTCTGATACACCACCCACATGCACCTGCCAGGGACCCCTATCTGTCCCTGGGACTGTGGGAGCACACGCCCTCCCTGTGCTCAAACGCACCCTGCACGCCCACTTCATGTTGGGTCCCAGGGCCCCCCCGGGAGCTGGGGTTGCACCTGCCTCTGAGCCCACAGGGCTGGCTTCTGTGTGAGTCTGGGGGCCGGAGCAAAATAGAAGGGACCCAGAGGAGGGGCTGTGGGGGGTCAGCATGGCCCTGTCAGGCGAGTGAGGACCCCTGAGGATGCACACACAGTGGGGGGCCTAGGAGATCCAGGCGAAGTCCTTGTCGGGACCCCCAGACGGGCTGCGGGGTCCCCGTGGCGAGTCCTCGTCATCCTTGTCATCCCCCAGCAGCGCGTCCTCGGGGGCCAGGCCCACGTCGTCCTCATCCTCACCCAGCTCCTCCTCGGCCTCCCCACGTGGGTCCTCGGTGTCCTCCAGGTAGGGCCCGTCACCTGTGAACAGCTCGGGGGAGCCCTCGGCGCCACCACCGTCCAGGGCTCCAGCCACACCACGGCCCGCGCAGTCGGCACACACGCCGTGGCGGCGGGACCCGTGCTTGATGCCCACGCTGGCGGCCGACATGAACACACGACTGCACAGCTTGCAAACGTACTTCTTGTCCTTGCTGTGGACCTGCAGGGGACGGACAGTCAGTGCAGGGGGAGGGGCGGTCAGTGCGGGACGGGTCCCACAGACCCGGATGAACTTGCGTCCTCCCAGCCGCATCCCTCTGAAAACCCTGCACCGTGAAGACCCACTGCTCAGCCATTTGTTGCCAGGTGCTGCCCCACAGGTTCTGACTCTAGAAATGGAACTCAAATGACTCGGTCCCGGGGACCCTTGCTGGGTCTTTTTTGTTTGCTATATTTTAAACCCAGGGTTTCCTTGACCCCTCCCTACCCCACACACACACAAAAGAACAAAAACTCCAGGCCAAGCAGCAGGGACAGTGACAGTGCGCTGGGTGAGCAGGCAAAGCGAGGCTGGGCAGTGGGGCTGCTGCTGAGGCCCCTGAGGCCTGGGGCTCCCAGGCAAGGGAGCCAGGGGCCACCAGGACATCCGCCAGCGACTCAGGAGTCGCAGGAGCCTCTGGTCAGGACCAGACGGCTGGGAATACATCCGAACAGGCAAATGGAAGGCAGAGAGAGGAAGGATGCAGGCGCCATGGCAACCAAGGCCCAGAGACCCACAGTCCAGACCCAGCCCTGACAGCTCTGCCGCCACTGGCAGGAACAAGGTGATGCCTCGATGCTGCCTGCTGCACTGGGGCTCAGTGACCCCCAAGAAATTAAAGGGGAAAGTACGATCCCCTCCTCAGAAAAAGGCAAGCCCTCCCACGTAGTCACAACATCTTCAGGGATTTATGACCCTTCCTGTAGCCCAACCATGAATCCAGGATAAAAATCCTGCCCCATCCAAAGTGAACAGTTCTGCTAAAGAAAGATGCGGCTACCCACATCGCTGTTGCAACGACTTTCCAGCACTTGTGTAACAAACAAGATACAATTCTCCTGGAAGAGAAACAAGGGGCACAGGCGTACATACCCTCCACATTTCTGTCAGTCATTTGGTAAAATAAGTCTCTACGGTTTCCTACTTGGATTAAGGGGATGCTGATGGACAACTAGAGAAAAAGCCATTCTCAAGTCACCGTGTGGTCGAGCTGGTGCTCCCAGCTCCGCAGACCTGCCTCTCCACACCCAGGGCTCCCCTTGCCTCCTCTGCTTGACCCCCTGCATGGGAGACATGAAGAGAAACGGGAAGCCCACGGCCTGCCTCCTGTGGCTACTGGGGACACTCAAAGGCTGGGGCCCATGGGGCCAGCCAGGGGGACATGGGCATCTCTTATTCAGCTGGGCTAGGCCCCGACTCCAAGGGCTGTCTCTTCCTCCAGGTTTTCGACCTGACCCCAAGGGAACTCCCCAAATAAGGGTCCCAACTGGGCTGGAAAAGCAAAACAAATGACCAGCTACGATTACCCAATATAGAGAACAGACTGGAGGATCCAACAAGAGCCGAACCTGGACGGCACCCCAAGGCGAGACAGGGCCCCTCACATGCGGGTGGGGGACAGGCAGCGGGCTCTGCTCAGCGCATGGACAGGCGTTTGGGGCTCACCCTGACAGGGGCCAAGCCTGAGGGTCTCGCCTTGGCCCCTCCCAGACTTTCACCGTTGTGCCCGGGCATGCCCAGGCCATCCTTGCCATCACGACAGGGCTGCTCCAGACAGGCCTGGCTGGTCTCACCTTCCCACACCTCCTGGTGGGTCTGCTCCTGACGGTCAGCAGGTCAGCATGCTGCAGGGGTCTGGCCAAGCCTGCACACCCCGCAGACAACTCCCAATACTCCTGAGATTCCCAAACTCATAAAACCACCCAAAGTCCTGTCCCCTGCCCCCACAGCACATGCTGAGGGTGCCAGGCAGCTACAAGCCCAGAGCGGCCTCCACTGCCTCCTGCTTAAACCACTGCAAGACCAAGCCAGCCCCCTTTGGCCCTGCATCCCACCTCAAGTGTGTGTCCAAGAGGGGCTCTGTCACCACATGTGGCCACAGTCCAGCCCCTTGACTCCGAGCTGCCCAGCCTTCCTGGTTTATCTCAGCCACCCAAGGGGGACCCTCACCCTGTTTTTCTTTTGGCGAATCTGTATCCCTGTTTCAAGGATGACCTTTCCCATGGTGGCCAAGCAAGTCCATCCATCTCTCCTGCCACCTGATGACTGTGAGCGAGAGACAGGCCATCAGACACCTAACAAGGGTCAGTGGGGAGCAGGGCTGGGGTCCCTGCGACTGCAGGGCGGGAGCTCAGAGAAGTGACCTCATGGTAGCACCGGGGGTCTGAGAGGGAGGTCCCAGCAGAGGAGGAAGTACTTGCCAAGACCACACTGGAGCAGAGGGGATCCCAGAGGGAAACCCAAGAGCTGGGGCTGGGGGTGATGTGGCCCACCTGCCTTCTGCACCCAGACCCGGGGGGTGGAGCCTGTGCAGAGGGACACACGGGTCGGGGCGGCTCCCCCTGCTCACTGGGTCTTCCCACCACAGAGTGGACTCCACTTCAGGGCTTCCAGGGCATTCTGGACACCTCATGCCCCCATCCCACGTGCCTGGACACCTCAGCCCAGTGCAGAGCGTGCCCTGGCCGACCCCATGAGGACCCCATGCTGACCTCTGTGTTAGCCCCATACTAACCCCATGCCAACTCCCCCCACACCAGTGAGCCCTGTGCTGACCCCGGCTGAGCCCTGTGCCGTCCCTGTGATACGGACCCCACACTGACCCTGCGATGACCCAGCTCTGACCCCACGCTGACCCATGCCCCCTGCCCGCGCTCACCAGCGTGTGCCGCTTCATGTGCTCGCGCCGCGTGAACTTCTTCCCGCAGATCTCGCAGGGGTAGGGCCGCTCGCCGGTGTGCGAGCGCATGTGTCGCTTGAGGATGCACTGGTGCATGGCCGAGAAGCTGCAGTAGGGGCACTTGAACTTCTTCCTGATCACCGTGAACTCGTTGACTGAAAGAGAGCGGACAGGAGTCACCGCGAGGCCCTGTGCAGGCCGCCCACCGCGGCCAGCAGCAACCAGAGCAAAGGGCTTTGCTTGTGAGGTTTGGTGTCAGAGGACCGGACAGGCCTGGGCCAAGGCCAGAGGCCACCGCTTCCCCTTTTTAAGAGAGTACATTTCCTCAGACAGCCCAGTGTACACACCAGCCTCTAAAACACAGTGACGGCCACACACAGAATCACAACAGAAAAACACAAGTAGAAAACAGGTGAGACCAGAGAGCACCCGAACCTGCAGCTCTGCCCACAGCCACAGACCAACAGTGCCCAGGAGCCGGTGGCACTCAGCTGCCCCAGCCAACCACCCACACGCCAGCGCCGGGCCCGTGGATGCCCAGGCAGAGGTACAGCCTGCCACACCGTGAGCCACAGCGCGTGCGAGGCCGGCTCAGCCCCAAACGCACCACGAGAGTGGGGAGCGGCCTCTGTGAGGCGTGGCTCGTCCACCAAGTTCCCTCCCTTCCACAGTTCAAGGACGATGCCACGGGCCCCCGAGTGGTCACCCCTGTGGCCAGCTGGGCCTCATGGCTGCAGCCACATTGCACATCAGGATTCGGCCACACCCTTGGAGGCGTCTTGTCCCACATTCCAGGTAGTCTCTCGGTGGCGGTCGGGGGTTTGGGTCCCGTGGTGTGAGCCTCACTGTGCAGGGCCCCACTGGCCCCTGGGACAGCTCACCCCAAGGGGCACCCTTTGCACTGAGCACTCACAGACACCACGGGCACCCCGTCTGGAGCCTGCAGGGCACTCATCCAGTACCTAGAACCCAAAAGGCCCTGGGGTCAGTCATCCTAGACTTCACCAGGATTGCTGGGGGCAGCTGAGTCCTACCGCGTGAGGGGCCCAGGTGACAGACACTGTCCTTCAGGGTCTGGATGCAGCTGCTGGGCCCTCACGCCACCCCACAACCTGGAGGGGTACAGGGGGCACTCTGCAGGCTGTGTATCGGCACAAGCACCTGGAAGACAGGACACAGGTCCCGGTAGTCAGAAACACTGGACCTGGTCAGAGGCAGGCTGCCAGAACAAACACCAGCAGGAGGGGCACACCTGGCCAGGCCAGAGCCGCCTCTCTCCACGCCCTCAGAACACAGCAAATGGCCATGCGTGGCAGGCCCTGGCCACGGTCACAGCTGCCCCTGGAGGCCCTGCAAGGAAGGCAGGTAAGAAAACAAACGCCACAGAGTTACAGGGTGTGGGGAGGAGAGGAAAGCCCTGGGCCCTCTCGCTGGAGGGAACTGGCCAGTCTGCTGGAATAAGGACCAGACAGTTTAGTCGAGCTCTGTCCCCCTAGCCATGGGCCACCTGCTGCGTCACACAACAGCAGGGACCCCTCATCACCATCCCCATGAAGCCTGCCCCAGGGGCCCCCGACTCCGTTCTGTGGCTCAGACCCCAGCCACGGCCACATCGTCATGGAAGTGGCGCCAGCGGGACGGTGCAGAGCAGGAACACCGAGCTCACAGGCCCGGACGCCCAGGTGCCGGGTGCATGTGGAGTTGGTCCTCGCTCCCGCACCTCCGTTCCTGACACATGCTGGTTAAATTCAGGGAAAACACTGAGCGGAACATTTCATGTTGCGTCCTAAATAAGCCATGTATCTTCTCTCAAGAACCCTCAAAAGGTGTCTAAACAATCAAGCAACCCAGATTCTTTTTTTTTTTTTTTTTAAGATTGGCACCCGAGCTAACAACTGTTGCCAATCTTTTTTTTTCCTGCCTTTTCTCCCCCAAATCCCCCGAGTACAGAGTTGTATATATTTTTTAGCTGTAGGACCTTTTGGTTGTGCTATGTGAGACGCCGCCTCAACATGGTCTGATGAGTGGTGCCACGTCCGCACCCAGGATCCGAACCAGCAAAACCCTGGGCCGCTGAAGTGGAGTGCGCGAACTTAACCACTCGGCCACGGGGCCGGCCCCCGACCCAGATTATTTCTTATTTTCCAGTGAGACCATCTGTGAGATCCGCCACAAACTGCGTCCAGACTCCTGCGCCAGGGGCTCTCAACTCTGGGGTCTCCCCGACCCCCTGGACAGTCAATCCACACCAGGGACACGCCTCCTGGGGTGACCTGTGTCCACACTTGGCCAGACAACTTCACCAGGGTGAGGCTATCACGGCCAGGACTGGGCTGTGTGGACTTCACCAAGCTCACAGCCACTCCCCAGAGCCCGGCTGCCTGCTCACCTCACAGCTTTTACGCACATAAAAGGGATTCCCCACCACGCCTGAGGACAGAGCTCACCAAGTCTCTCAGAATTCTAAAGGATTCTAGGAAGTAAAGGCTTTAGGTGCTTCTACTCTGGGCGTGCGCGCGCGCGTGTGTGTGTGTGTGTCCCTGTGTCTCTGTGTGTGTGTGTGTGTGTGTGTGTGTGTGTCTGTGTGTGTCTGTGTGTGTGTGTCTGTGTGTGTGTCTGTGTGTGTGTGTGTGTCCCTGTGTCTCTGTGTGTGTGTCTCTGTGTGTGTGTGTGTGTGTCTGTGTCTGTGTGTGTCTGTGTGTGTGTCTGTGTGTGTGTGTCTGTGTGTGTGTGGCTGGGAGCTGGGGGCGGGAGGGAGGCACAGCTTGGTCAAGAGGCTAAAACCAGAACCCTGTGGAGAACCTGGAAGGCACTCAGGAGACGAGAAAGCCTCCCGGCCCCATCACACATGGTGCCCGTGGACACTTTAACGTCTGTCTTTCGAGTCTCTTTTCTGTGCATAAACATATAATTTTTTTTTTGAAAGATTGGCACCTGAGCTAACAACTGTTGCCAATATTCCTTTTTTTTTTTCTTTTCTGCTTTTTCTCCCCTAATCCCCCCAATGCACAGTTGTATATTCTTAGTTGTGGGTCCTTCTAGTTGTGGCATGTGGGATGCTGCCTCAAGGTGGCCTGACCAGCAGTGCCACGTCCATGCCCAGGATCCGAACCAGAGAAACCCTGGGCCGATGAAGCGGAGCGCGCAAACTTAACCCCTTGGCCACAGGGCTGGCCCCTAATTTTTTAAATTACAGAATTGAAATTATAACGTACGCAGTTACATAGAACATCCTCCACTTACCACTGTGACCGCTTTTCATGTTGTAATTTTAACTTTTATGTTCTTAAATGTTTGAATATCCCATAATTTATTAAACGGAGAGCTTGTGGTTGGATATTTAAACTGTTTCCATGTTTCCACCCTTGTGAATGATGCCTCAGTGAAGTTCCTACAACGAATATTTGCCTCCATCTATCAGCTCTTAAAGGTAAATTCTGAGAAGCGGGACATGTGGAACTGCTCTCCCACTGGCTGCTCCCTCGGCCACACTCCCTTGGCCCTCCCAACGGCCCGAGAGCACAGGAAGCTCAGAGCCGCAGACACGAGCACGTGGCATGCGGCCACGAGGCCTGGGGGACGTCTGCCCAGCCGGCCGCACCCATCACACCTGGCAGCTCCAGAGGAGGAAAACCTCACGCTCTTCTTTACTCAGCCTCCCATCCCAGCGCCAGGTCAGCCTGGACCTGCCCTGCTGTCACCCTCTACCACACGGCCACAGGGTCTCCTCCACACGATGAGTCCAATTTTCTATTACCAACAAAAAGAGCCATCAGGCCACCTGCTATGAGGTGGAGGTGGAGGACAAGGAGGGAGCTTTCAGGTTATTTTACTTAAAACAACTTTTTTGGAATGTATTTATTCATGGTTTCCATTCTGCTATAAACATGAAAATTAACATTTTGAATTATATATTCTAGTCTTCTGTATTTAACAATTCAGACCTACATGTTAAAAAAAATACTTTTCTCCATACAGAAGTGCTGTATTTTTTCCCTAGGAAAACAATTAAGAATGCACAGACATGAGAATGACTCACCCTTAGTGACCCTCCCGCCTAAGCTGGGCACGACACATGCGGCTGCAGACGGTCCACTGAAAACACACTTTCTGAAGTTACTCTGTGATGATACCTTTTGGTGTTTTCTTAATGTATTAACTTCCTGTCGCTGCCATAATGAATTACCACAAACTAGTGGCTTAAAGTAACAGAAATCTGTCCTCTCACAGTTGTGGGGGCAGGAGTCCTCAGGTGTGGGAAGGGACGAGCTCCCTGCGGAGGCCCTAGAACCGGGTCCTTCCTGCCTCACAGCTCCCGGGGCCCTAGGTGTTCCTGGCCTTGCGGCGGCATCACTCCAGCCTCTGCTCCCTCTTCACAGGCTCCTCCTCTGTGTCTGCGTCTTCTCTTCTGTCTCTTACAAGGACACTTGCCATGGGATTTACGGCCAACTTTGATATTCCAGGACGATCTCATCTCGAGAGCCTTGATTTCATCTGCAAAGATCCTTTTTCCAAATAGGGGCACAGTCACAGGTCCCAGGGATGAGGACATGGACTTATCTTCGGGTGGGGGCACCCGGAAGTCCACTACACTCAGTGAACAGTACTGTGATCTCCGAAGGACACTTTCATCAGCTACTTTGATTAAAATAACTTCACACTGGCCAGCCCTGAGGGTCTGGTGGTTAGGACGCGGCGCTCTCGCCACCGTGGCCCGGGCTCCTGGCCCGGTCAGGGAACCGCAGCCCCGTCTGTCGGTTGTCACACTGTGGTGGCTGCGTGTGGCTGTGATGTTGAAGCTCTGCCACCGGATGTCAAACACTAGCAGGGTCACCCAGGTGGACAGCTTCCGGCTTTCGGCAGAGTCTCCAGACTAGACAGACGGACCCGGCCAGCCACTTCCAAAAAATTGGCCACGAAAACTGTATGAACAGAGGCAGAGCATGTCTGATAGAGCGTGGGAAGGGGAGAGGATGGTGAGAGGATGGTGCAGAAAGACGGGCAGGGCGCCCTCTGCTGACACCGGGTCGTAGGAGTCAAGTCGACAGCACTGAATACAAAATATTATTGTTAAGAAGCCAACACTTCTAGAACTTGTGGTTTCCGGTCCATGTATCTTAGAAAAATCCTCCACATCATAGAGTGTCACTCTTAT